GACCTCCAGATCTCTTAAAGGAAGGATTACATCACACAAAAGTGATGCTAGGCTTCATCCTGAAAGATGCGCTCTAGCATCTCATGTTAACACAACAGGGCATTCTATGAATTACACAAGTATTAAAGTTCTTGATAAAGAAAAACACCTTTCCAAACGTTTATTCCTGGAAATGTCCCACATTTTCATGAATAACAACTGTATCAACAAAAAGACAGATGTTAAACAACTGAGTGTCATTTACTCATATTTGCTAAACTGCGAAAAATTGGAGAACTTACATATCTCCCCAAATTTCAACTCTTCACAACCATAATTAGAATCTGTGTTTTGGCCGTTTCCACCAGTAAATTTCATTCCACTCAAAATATAATAATTCTCTCCTCACGATTTATTAATAATTGTTAATTTAAATTCCCATTAATAATAATATAGTTTATTCAACTGCCTCTGGTCGGTTTAACAAATTCTAACATAAAATTCTGAAAATCTCATCATCTGAAGTGATTTGGCAACGTTTTGGCACACGCCCACAATTCGTTCCATCTTTCAATACTGACATTGACATCCTTCGGCCTTCTGTCAAAGGGTTTCATGTCACTCATCAATTCATCATTCCATGACCACTAATTTGTGCAATCATCAGGTGGTTTCACGATGTAATGCTCTAATTTTTAAAATAATTTTTAATCTGTTTTTAACTTGTTCTTGTCATGTTTTGTATAAATTTTGACTATTGTGCAATCTATTCAGCTCTCACCATGTTACTGGACGTTTCCCTCATCCTATACGTAAACAACAATTAGCAACACCCTCACATACTACTGTTAGTTGAGTCAATTTAAATTCATTTTACACCTTTGTTGCTACTGTTATCATTGTAATTGCAGCTCCTGATGATGATGGCAAAGTCCATTGAAAGCTAGAGAGAATTAAAAAAAGTATAAAGAGTCCTCTTTGCTTAAATCTTGTCGAAGTACCCAACAAAAGGCGGAAGCTTTAATTTTTCACCTAACTGGTCTAGACGACAATGACCACGTCTCAAGTTATATATAAATATATATATATCTATGTAATTTTTATTTATTTATAATTTTTAGATTACCAAGCCACAGAGTATTTTGTTTCTCTCTTAATCTTTGATTTTTGAAAAATTAAGCTATAAACGTGATTTCAGGGTTTACATAAAAGTTATAACTTCAAATTACTTGAAATAAAGTCAACGTGGCTTATGTGCTTTATTGCCTCAAGCCCTTCAATTAATGCTGAATGATCATTGGTCGAATGCTTTACGTAAATCAAAAAATATACTCTATGTAGCTTGTTTCATTTAAATTTTTTTTGGTAAGTTGGATAGATAGCTTAACTTGCTTAATACAATAGGTAGACAGTCCTTTTTTATCAAGGAAGTAAATGTAGGAGTGAACGCATTATGAGGCATTGGCCACCTTGCGGACTCTGTTACGTGTTTGACCCAAAAACTTCTTTGAAAGGGCTATCAGCTATGGGTCCAGCCAATGTCTACCGTCTAATTCCAAGATTTTAGACGCCGATATAACTGTCTGTCAGGCACATCTTGCGGCGGCAATATGAAGGATAGTGTTAAGGAGTAAAGCTCGTTGACATCACGACAGAAGAGAGCTTGATCGTTGACGGCCCGTTGGTAGGGCAGGATCCCGAAACTGTTAGAGAAGAGTCATCGATCAGTCGGAAGACTTTCCTTGGAACAGCATAGAGCATGGATCGGGAGCGGCAAATATGTGAGCAGTGCTCGAGGCTAAGTCTTATTTGAGCCTTATACAAGGTGAGCTGTAGGTAATCATGCCAGATCAGGTTCTCGGTGATGTGGACTCCAACCAGACAAAATGAACGGCTCTTTGATAGCACTCGGACATACATCGAAATCGGATGAGCGCTTGATGGTACAAAACGTACGATGAGGATATTTCCAGGAAGAATCACACGTGATTCTTGTAATAAAAATGAACAAAGAGGTATTCTTCTCGTTATACTTGGGGTTATTTCTCCATCCCATAATATTAGGGAAATGATAAAGGAGCATTTTGAACTAATTCTTTAAAAAAATGAGAACAGGAGTGGAATCCCGTATCCCATCGGATCGTACATATCGACACGTTTCCATTTAATCGATACTCTGTGCTTTCACAGAATCGACACGTTGCTGTATGCCCTCGTTTCATTTCTACTGGTTCACGCTCATCGAATTCTATTCACAATGTCATTGCTGATACTTTTGAGCTGTCGTGTTCATTGGTCTAAGATTAGGTAAAAATAGATCTCATTTATTAATAATTTAATTATAAAAATAGTGTTGGCATTCTCCATTTTTTTTATACTCCAACTACCACGAAGGCCTAAGGCCTAAACACCCATTGGGTACCGTGGGGCTATAGGGGGATACAGGGGAGTTAAAATACATAATGCGCCATTTTTCTGTTTAACGAAACAATGCCTCAAATCGCGTATCTTCAAAGAAAAAATTGCGCCAAGTAGATTGACTCTATACTTTCTACATCTCCGTTGGAGATTACAAAGAAAAGAGATGATTCAAATTGTTTCAAAATGCGAAATTGAATCGTGGTCAGGTAGGCTCACTTAGGTACGATAAACCTTCGCCCTCTACATGTCAATCTATATAAATTAAATCTATCATATTTCTGCCTCCATGGCGTGTAGGTGAAAATATGTGTGACTTATTTCTCTGACAGGTGCATAGTATCACCGAGATCAGCAGCCTCTGAATAATAGAAGGTCTTCCACTCACATCAAATATGCAACAATTTACAACCGTTTAACGCAAAGAGCTTCCAACCAACAATTTTTATTCTCTCTAAGCAATGTCTCAAAAAGAGCAGGAATCTCTGAATCATTTTAACTCTATGTTTCAGCGATTTTGTTTTCGCTGCCTGTGAATCAATTTTCAGAATTTACAACCTAACCAACGGAATTATTAAGCTCGCGATAGTATTCGAACTTCGATTCACAAGCTTTCTGTTGCCTAAAGATATCTGCATCACACAAGTATGTGTATGTGTTGTATATCAATGCATCATACGTACTAAGTCAGTCTAATATCAAAGAACCATCATAGTCAGAGTAAAGCAAATTGAAGGTTAGACCAAATGGATACTACATTTAAGAATCATACAATTCAGAAAAATATGAGTGGATAGAGGAAAGTACCCTAATATGAGACACCTTTTTATTCTTTGAATTATCTAATGAACCTCTCATGTCATAATAATCAGAATTTAGTAGAACACAGTCTACGTTTACTTTAGTTATACGTCCGTATAATTAAGAGAGGGCAAAATAAAGAGGCTTTATAAAAAATGGAGAAAAGTGAAAAGTCTTTTTTTTCAATTTACAATTTGGGGTCCTAATATGAGACATCAGGGTTTCGTAATATAAGACTGCCTCATATTAGGTTCCAAATAAAAAAAAACTCATATTTCATAAGTTTTATTGTGAAATAAAACATTATTCTACTCTGAAAGAGTATCAACATAATGGAATATAATAACTATTAAAAATATACCAAGTAATTTACAAAAACTGTTTAAGAACTATTTATTCGAAAATTAGTTTTCTTTTTCCTTCTTTCCTTTCACAAAGTGGACATGTGAAGGATTTTCCTTCAGTTTCGCCACAATCTTCATGAGCTCAACGAAAGCAAACAACACATTGGGCCCAGGTTTCTCCTCTTGTGTCCTCGGAATATTTTCCAGAGCAAAAATAGTATTCTGCGTCATCTTTATCCATATCACTGGAATCATCCAACTCTACGTCTGACTCTAGTTCTGACTCCGAACCACTAGACGCGTTTCTCTTCACTTGTTTTTTTTTCTCTTTTGGTACAATGGGATTTGCTTTTTTGACATCTTTTTTTTAATAGATTCTTCCAGAGTTTATTATATGGAGTGGATGTAATTAGGCTCGCTATACCTTTTTCGAGACAGACTCGTGCTAGTTCCAGAAGTTGATGGTATTGCCTGGATGTCTTGTGGTGAAACTAGCGTCGAACTTATAGGCTCAGCTGAATTACTATTATGAGTCGTAATATTGTTATTATTTCTTTCATTGTTTACCTCCACATTTTCGTCTTGTTCTATGTTTTGATCTAGTTGCCTTTCCGGGAAATCGATGTATTTGAAAATGTTTCTATTGCACGGGAAAAGTCCAGTTCATCTAAACGAGTTAATGGATGCTTCCATTGTGGCGGCTCATTTCTAAGGAAAGTTTCTATTTCCTGTGCATAATAGGTTTTTAGTGCTGCTATAAAACCCACATCGAGGGGCTGCATTTCTATTACCTCCATGTTCCTCGTGTGGGAGTAATGGCCATCAAGAACCAAACAAACGGGATCGTCCTTAGTTGGTTTGACAAAGTTTATGAAATGAGCAAACCACTGTGAAAAAATATCTGTCTGGATCCATCCAGACGGATGACAAGCCCAAATAGATCCTGCTGGTGTACCCATTAAATGTTCTGACATGTTTCTCCTTGGGAACACAGTTAAGGGAGGAACGAATGTCCCAACAGCGTTCATGCAGGCCACAACAGTCAGAAGTTTTCCTCTCTCAAGCGAAGTTGTTGTGCAGACTTGTTTTTCCCTTAAGCCAATAATTTTACTTTGCTTATGTTGCACAGCAGTTTTATCTACATTAAAAAGTCGGTGTGGCGAATAATTAACTTTTTCCGTCTCCTGTTTCGAAAATGTTGAAAAACTCACCGACACTTTCGGCATTAAAACCTTTCGCCCACGCTGAAGATAGAGCTTGAAGAGTCCGTATAGATAACTGTGAGTGCCTGGCTAAAAAACCTTTGAGCCATTTTTTTACGGCGCTTCCTTTTATTTTACTATAGGGATGAGCTAGCCCGTTTCGTATTGCTAGCTGATATGCCATACCTTTTGCATCTCTTCTTCTCAATCCATAGAATTTTTGTTCCATTTCTAGACAGTAATATGCCAAAAGTTTTTATAACTCCAAAGGGAGAGCCCGTCTTCGAGCTACCTTTACATTGACAAGCTCTTCTGGATTTCTATCATCTTTCACATATCTTTCAAGTGTTCCTTAAAAGTAAAAAAAGAAAACGTAATTTCAGAATTACTAGAAATGCAAATCCGTTTTTACCTTTTGGAACTTCATATAGTTTAGAAGCCTTTTGGTATCCCGTTTCTTTGTTTGTTACAGCTTTCACCGCCCTGATCATGTTTTCTTTACTCCACTGCTTTCTTTTCTTACTTTGTTTAGGCATATCTAGAACAAGTTTCATTTTGCTAGAATATTTTAGAAAATGCATGGGGTTCCTTATATGAGATACATCTCTTATTAGGATCCCCATGCTATCGTGTATTAGGATCACATGACATAAAAAACAGACAAAATTTTTTTTTGTAAAAAAAGCCGATCGACTCTATTCCATGAATTAAAAATAAAGTACAAGACATGCGTTATGGAATCCATTAAACACATACCTCTAACTTCGTAGTAAGTTGACTCAAAACTCGCTTAAAACGTGATACTTTAAAACATTCACGACCACGAAAAGACGAAATAGATAGCTAACCGATCCAGAGACCCTCGAAAATAGGATTGCGGAAAGAGGTTTGCGTTCATTCCAAGACTTTGCTGGAGGAACCGTCAGATGGCGACTTATATTCTTGAAAATACGAGGGGGTCTCATATTAGGGTACTTTCCTTTACAAATACAGTTGAGTCATTATTTACAAAAGCATCGCAGAACGCTCAAGTGGTACGTACTCCTAATATCGAAATATAGCTAAAATATGTCAATATTTCTACTACAGCGGTTTTCCAGTCACGACACTACTGCAGACCAGTTGAAGTTTGTTACCTACGCCCAGGATTTGCCAGGTTATTCTGATTATGAGGACATTATACAGCGGACCGTTATGATATAATTTCTCCGTTGTTACCGGGATCAGAAGCTTCTTTGACTACAACTAAAAGCATTACATCTGCAACCCCCTACAACCCCGAAATTTCAATCCCTACAAAAACTTTATTGAAAGTGATCAGGAGCCTCTGAATTTTTTTTTCGGGTTATTGCCTCTAGCTCCGCCAAGACTAGACCAATTTTCAAAAACTATGCTTTTTCATCCTTGGCATAGTAATAACCTTGTGTGAAAATTTTATTAAAGTCCTAGCGGTATTTCTCAAGTTATAGGCGGTTGTAAAATTAGCAGACCTACATACCTACGGTAATGAGTGGCATTGTTTTTCGTGACGGACATGTCATAATTATACATCCAAAAAACATAATATCTCAATTTCCAGTGTTGGCATAGGAAGCAAAAACGAAAGATCGGATTTTGTAGTACACGAAGCCCTAGTGCTGCACTAGGTGTAGAACTCTGTTATGAGTCATCATTTCTTTTTCCAAATATAAAATTTTCAAATCGACACTTTGCTTCCATCTTGTACATTAACAGGTAATGCTTTTCTTGGGTATTGAGTATTTCCTCATAAATAATGATAATTGAATCTGGGCAACTTGGCGTGTCCGTTCGATTTGAATTAATGTGACCAGCTACTAGGTTCAAGTTGAATATTAGAATAGCATTTGCGTACAGGTGCGTGCATTCATATTCGTAGTTTACGATTGGAATGTGCTACTCTGATCTTCAAGTTAGTAGTGCTGGCCAAGGAAACTAGAAAGAGAAAGAGCTCACAATCATACCGTATCAACAAGATAGGACATAAGAATGCTTTTAAGAGCGGTGTTGAATGCAGTTTGCGGTAGGCACTAGTTTTTACTATCTACGCATACAGGTGAAAAGTTTTTGGATGCTATATGTACCTCAAGAAAAACCATGTCACTCATTTCCGTCGGTCTATCTTAACGCTAATCCTTGAACCGTCGATAATTTGGAAAGTACCGCTTGGGCTTTGATTAAATCTGCACGACATAACTACTATGCCCAGAACGAAGAAGATTTATAGTTTTTAAAAATCAGTCCAGTGGTGGTGACGTAAAGAACAAAGAACGAAAGTTCATTTTTTGACGTTTCAGATCATTTTCAGAAAAATACTTTCAGGGGTTAAAAATCGGGGTTAATGGTTGTAGGGGGTGGGGAAGGGTATATCTCAATTTTTCTTGCCTTAAAATAGACAAATACTTGTAGACGTGACACGCTGTCGCTTAGGACGATATCAATGTACATGCGCCAGACTCTGGAATTACAGTAGCGCTAATGGTTGAGTAGCGTGGTTCAGAATTGTTACGAGGTGGTCGATACTTAGGGAAGAAACTAGTGTTAGCGTTATCAAATGGGTGGGGACTATAGAGTCTGGACTAATTGTAGGGCCTGTTTGGCTGACTTGATCCATTTAAGTTTTTTGTCATACATGTTACTAGCTAGTTCAGAGGGACTAACTTGTATCGATCTGATTACATCGATGCATGGGAAGTACTGAGCCAACCTACTTGATGCCATTTTTTCGTTGTCTAGGCTTGTACAATATGTGCGGTTCGAGAACAAGTGATCTCTGGTATAAACTGGATGGCATGGAGAGTATCTTCTTTACACTATATGGATGCGAGCGTTTTAAGATAGACTGAGCCAAGAATATTCATTGGAATCTTTTAGTGGACAGTTTTAACATTACTTTAGACATAACCTCATAAATTATAACTTCTTGTCTAGTTTCAAGCATTGCAGATGGACATTTAAGAGTTTTTCAAGCCTGAAACTACTTGCAGTCCGTTGTTCATAATGATCCATAATAACTTCGTCTAAAGCCAAAAACAATTATTTGCAATTTGGTGTTTAACAAATATCCACCGGGTTATCGCCTAGGAACCTCTTAATTCTTGTTAAGGAGCAAGACAAAAAAATCAAGTCGGAAGATGTTTGAAAAGATTGTGAGATTTTCGCTTTAATGTACTATTATTCCATATGAATCTGAAGACCTTATAGAGGTATCTCAAACAGGCCTTGCTTTGAATATTTACAAAATATCTTGAGCCTCAAGTTGAGTCATACAATTATTACATTTCGTTACCAATAAAGTTACTAAACAAAGAACTATGTTTAAAAACTCAAACAACACACAATCCCAACGAATTATTTTCATTGCAAATAAAAGAAAAATGTCATTTACCTTCGAGAACAAAAGTAAACTTACAAGCTACTATAAATTTATCAAAATATTTGTCTAAGCCGCGTATTTATAAGTCGTGTAGCAGTGTGTACAAATGCGACAATGTGTCAGCGGCGGTTGATCCTCGAAAGAAAAATGAATCATAAAAAATTAAGTATATTAAGTTCGTGCCTGCCCGCTCTAGGGAATAATCTTCTGATGTGAAATATGACCGTGATAAAATGTGACACATCATGATATCTGATATACGCTGCTATGTGCATGCGGCATGCGGGTAATACAGAGAAGCCAAGCCTAGAATAGTCTACATGAAAGCGCAAGTATAGAGGAAACTGGCCTAAACCGGAACCCTGGACTCAGTAGCTCTGCATCCTCTGATGTTATTGCCAAGTATAAATAGTAGCTTAGATATTTACCGTACTGGAGAGCACCTCACATCTCATGTAACTTGTTCATCCACGATTATGTGTTGCAATGTTGGAAAAAAAATTTAAAACCTCTAATAACGTTAAATATTTTGAAGTTATACAAATTTTTAAATTTTGGTAGTTTTCAAAATTGAAACTAGCCTTGAAGGTTTTGAAAATTCTAAAAATCTTGAAAACCTGTGATGTCAACAGTTACAGACTACTGTGAAATGCAAATGTTAAATCTCCACTTCAGGCTCACTCAAGGGACCGTTATTATTCCCATATTCTTTTGGAGGTTTTTTTACACGAAAGCGGTCGCGCAGCCAGAAGCCTAAATACCAGGGCACTGCGGCTGCTATGAGGAGCTTAAAGAGACTTTGTTAATACGATTTTCAAACTGCCTAAGGTCAGTAGAACTGAGAAAAGAATCCTTATGTAGATCATTCCACAGTCTCAATGCCATAGGGACAAAGGGGCGGTGGTATCGGGCAGATCTGGATGTACGAAGTTCGACACAGAATGGAAGGCCACAGTCAAGCGGGCATATCTGGCCGGCTCATTGTACGGCATCATTGAGGAGCCCGTTGGCGTAGCGGTAGAACTAGATCGTCGACAGATCGCCAGTGCGAAAGGGTCCCGAGTTTGTCCATTAGAGAAGACTAATCGATCGGACAGCCCTCCTCGAGCATGGATAATATAGTTAGCTGCGTGACATGTAGATCGCTGGTGTCGGAAACCATACTACCTATCGCCAATTAAGCCGTGACTTTCGAGGTACTCCAGAACCTGCAGATTTATGTGCCTCTCCATCACCTTACTTATAACAGAAGGCAGAGCTATAGGCCTGTTGTTGTAAGGGTCGGTCTTAGCTTTCTTTTTTTGGGATGGATTGAGCAAGTTTCCTGTTTTCTGGAAAAGTGCCGAATTCGCAAGAACTGGAGCAAGTTCCGCTGCACATCTCTTCAATACAACGGCAGAAATCAAGTTCGGACCAGAATTTTCGCGAAAAACTAATGGACGGAAATTGACATCTCTGACAATTCTTTCCACACCTCGAGTCTATGGAAACTCCTAATACTATTCATGAACAATGCTTATCCAAGGTCCTTGACTAACAGAATTCTGTTCAGCTCTCCGTCCACTACTTTGCCAAATCAAAACAACAATAACAATAATTCCATCCCCTCCAACATGAATACAAATAATTCTCAAAACAATAACAATACCATTACACCATCAAATCCCAGAATTAGTTTTGTAATATTGCCATACATTCAAAATCTAACTCCAAAATTGGCCAGACAATGTAGCACTTTAAATTGTCCTATTGCCTGTAAATCCGTCCTTACAATCAACAATTTAATTATTTTCCAAAATGAAATGTAGGGTTACGACGCTTAGCTTAACCAATACTGTCTACTCCACTAATTGTAATGGTTGCAATTAGATATATATATATATATATATATATATATATATATATGTATATAGGTGAAAAATTAAAGCTTCCGCCTTTTGTTGGAAACTTCGACAAAATTTATTTTTATTCTCTCTAGCTTTCAATGGTCTTTGCCATCATCATCAGGAGCTGCAATTACATTGATAACAGTAGCAACAATAGTGTAAAATGAATTTAAATTAACTTACAGTAGTATGTGAGTATGTTGCTAATTGTTGTTTAAGTTCAGGATGAGGGAAACACCCAGTAACATGGTGAAAGCT